AAGATGAAAGTAAAGGCGCGAGGGAGGTGCGCTGCGTGGACTTGCGATGCTCGTGAAGAGAGGAAGGCGGTGGCTGACTGCCAGTTTTTGGTTTTGGAAATGAGGAATCTGAGGTAGGACGGATCGGGATTGAGTGTATGGGCGGAGAAGATGAAAGTAAAGGCGCGAGGGAAGTGCGCTGCGTGGACTTGCGATGCTCGTGAAGAGCGGAAGGCGGTGGCTGAGAGGTCCTGACATCGTTGCTCGGTAGGTTATGGATCCGTACGTAGTGTGAAGATTTTGAGTTGATAGGTATCCTTCGAATAATCTCTATGAAAATGTTAACAAACGAAGGTTTAGAGCTGAGATAGAAATCGAGTTGTAGGTAGTGGTGCGAGTGCTAATCATTAGTTCGAGTCGAGTACTTAATGAGACGCCCGTGGTTGATGGACTGAGAATATATGGTATCGTACCTGGAAGGGTATCGTACCTTGGATGGGTGAGTAACTAGTAGCAGGTGTGACGTGCGTGATGCGGCTCAACAGCATAGGCGCTGGAACGCGATTCTCGAGAGAGAGATGAGTTCCTAGAGCTGAGCAGTTCGTCTATAGATCATTTCTATCATATCCTCTGGAACTCAGGGGATTGCTGTAGTGAGTTGGGTCATTCGATCATGGGGATGGAAAATCAAAAGACCCGCCTTGTGATGATACCACGCCCTGGTGAAATAAATAGTATCTATTAATACAGTGGATGTGACTCAGGGGATACGGTGTCTAAGGTAGAATATTTAGCGGCTGCTTGTCAGTGGTATAAGATGTTGGTGTGATCAGTGGCACTGATCACCAAGGATGCTTATCCTCATATAAAACCCTAATTGGAGGAGGATAGAAGGTCCTGTCATTAAGCACCATCATATCCTTCCTATATTGCTAAGGTGAGGCTTCTAGTTGTCTAGAACGGACTTGCTTGTCTTGCGTTAGACAGCCCGTCCGCTACACCCATAGTACGAAGATAGGAGGAGGATTTGCTCAGATGGTTGAAAAGCAATGTCATAGAATAGAACTATCTATTCCTTCAGCTTTAATATCAGACATACAGCTCCAATTCTGACTCTCCCATATAACACCATAGCGAGTTTGTGCTTAGACAAGGATGAGTCTGGTATTTGAGAAACTGGAATACTGTAACCAGCAAAAGATATGTGCGAATAGGTCCGCTGTGGATTCAAATATGCATTGTAGAAATTTCAGAATGGAAATAATCGAAGAGGCTTTTGGGGATCTCAATGTGATATGCATTTGAGATTTATACTGTACCGTTTTGATATTGAGAAAGCCTTAGGGGATATAAGATTTTGATTCGAAGCGTGGTATATCTGGAGGAATTTGCTGAGCTTGATGGAAGAGAAAGAAAAGGGCTTACAAAGAGTGGAAAGATAACTGGCACTCTCAGGTAGAGCTTGTGTGATCTCGAGAGAATAGGATGGAGAAGGAGCTTCTTGAGATCTTAGAGACTATGTCGAATTGAAAGCTTCACGTACACTTGATAATATAAATAGCTTTTCCCAATAGAGGTCATCATGTCAAACAGTAGAGACGTCTACCATCTCCCGCTAGAGGCGTATAAAAGTAGGCCCTACCTAAATCTCCTCCAGGCTTTGCTAAACTTCCGCCCTATTCCTAACCTAGAATTTGCTGAATAATTTTGAGTGTGTATCTATTGTACCTAGTAATTGGTGCCGAGCTTCAAGAGTCAAGACCGATGTCCCTCGTGAGGCTGAGCTGAGTTGCATTGACCTGTTGACCGTGGGCTGAGCTATTTCGAGCCGCCACACCCGGTAGGGAGTGTGCGCGAGCAAAGTTACCAACAGCTCAGAAGACCTTCAACAAGTATAAGTTCCGGGTTTGCAAGAATATAAAACCGAGCTGATGCCGCAGCAGTGATGCGTGCCCTATAACGCCAGTTTTCCTGTCTTCTTTTCCTCTTTTAATACAGGCCCCTTACTTTTCAACAAATCCATCGGGAACCCCTTACTTCCAGCCTCCTATTAATATTGTAACTAGGCGTTCGCAGAACTCTCGACTTTTCAGCCACACGGGATCGCCGTCATATGTGCAACATCAAGCAACGGGTGCAGACGACTAAATACATTTATATTGGATAAGGTAGTCCCTTTTAACTCGTCGATAACGTTCGCTAGGCGGACATAGATAGATAGTGCTCCTCTTGAAAGGTAATGGTAATGATGGCGTTGAGCCTCGCAATCCTTTCCCCCCCTCTTTTTCAACCCTTATCACAAACAGTCCAATCTTTACCTCCGCAAGTCGTCTTTTCCGAAGGATTTGTCAGGGCTATGTTGTATCACCCCTTCCAAGAAGCTAGGTATGCGACTTATTCTCCTTCTCATACAGTCATATCGTTCTCAAAACCAAAGTTGCTGCCCTATGTATATGTACTTCTGATTCCGGATTAGGTAGACAACCTTTACATGGGCTCAAATGATTGATGTGTATCCCCGGGTTGGATCAAAAGCGGCGGTAGAGTGTCGGTATATCGTTCACACTTTTCGGGTAGGTAGTTTTCAAGTAAATCCTTCGAGGACCTGATTCCCGGATTCGAGAGACGCGATTAGGTTACGTGTGATATACTCGAGCGCCATCTTAGATATATGAGTTCTGAAGATGCATTTTGGAGGTTATTAATGCTGATGCGCCGGAAGCTGGAGAGATAGCCCAATTCTCCTTAGTCTGCGGTCGTATTATGTACTTCATTTTCTCTTATTCTGGGTAGAATTAAAGTATCTCTACAGAAGGCAGAATACAACGTACAAGGACTCTTTTCATTCCTTACGCTGTTTTTCTCACACGAGTAAAGATGTTACAGTTCGTACCTACCTACCTAAGGTACCTTAGCCTTCACATGTAGATATTGAAAGAAGGGCTCAGGTCTACTGGATCCGGTCCACGAAACCACTTCTGAATGGACTTGTTAACAAGCATAGAGGATTCATTATTTCGGTGATCAGTATTACTACATTACTGAATACTCCAAAAGGGCCGCTCCGCTCTCGGTATCATACAATGCTAATCTGCTGAGCGCTATGCCTCATATCCTTGAGCGTTCCGAATAAGTCCAAAATTTCATAGCCGTGAGGCCCTCCCTCATCTTGAGTCCTTCAACATGCACATCCCTCCTGGCTGACCGGCGCTTGGTTGATATCGACATCGATCCCTGAGTTGACGGTCAGTGATTGATACTTCAATTTACCTGTGGGGGCGGGGAGGGGGGCCTACTCGTATTTTCGGTAGCTGCAGCGCCCTCTGCGCCGTCCATCCCTGGTAATGCCTGCGCTATCCTCCTGAATAGGTTCTTAACGTTATGTCCAACCTTTGCACTCGTCTCGATGAACATGAGGTTGTTCTTCTTTGCCTCTTCCTCGCCCTGCGCTGTTGTAACCTCTCGCTTGTCATTCAAATCCGTCTTGTTTCCCACCAACACAATTATCACATCGTTTCCGCGCTCGCCTCGCACATCGTCTACCCATTTCCGTGTGTTCTGGAATGACTTCGCATCTTCATAGCGTTAGAGATATCAAGCAGTCGCACAGTACAAACACATACTCGATATATCGTATACCACCACTGCCACGCTTGAATCTCGGATGTAGGAGGGAATTAAACTTCGGAACCGCTCCTGTCCCGCTGTGTCCCATAATTGTAATCGCACTGTTCGGTCTTCAAGGTACATGGTCTGCGCCAAGCGGTCAGCTTCCTATTCCATCGCCCTGCTACGTGCCGCTCACTTTGGAGAGGAAGTCGATGCCTATTGTCGCCTGGTACATATTATCGAAAGAGTCGTACATGAAGCGCGTGATGAGCGACGTCTTGCCAACTGTACGCCATGAAGGTCAGCGGGGGTTCGATCCTCCTATCCAGAACTTGCCACGCACCGCTTTGCTCGCCGAGGAAGACCAATCTATATAATCTTTAGCAACAGCGTCTCTATGACTTGTGGTCGTCGCATACTTGAACTTCTTCAGAGGGTTGTTGTATGATCCGGTGCCGCCTGCTTGTGCCATCGTGTCTGTGGTTGGTACGTCAAGGGAACAGAAAGGTAGAAAGCAATTCGAGCAGTGAAGACAGAGGGTCGAGCTGTTCAGAGTGGGTATGGGGTACAAAGAAGCCTACGGAGATAATACAGTGTAAAGGAGAGCATGGAGCGAGCCGGCCTAGAGCCAGACGCGCCAGCTTTGCTTCTAAACCTCGGGAACCAATCGGCGCATGACACCGGCGGTACCTTACTCCGTAGGACTCGGAATAAACCTTAAATAAATATTTGCGAAAATTCAATCGCCAAAAGAAATCGAGGCTTATCAACGCATCGCGACCCTCACTCTCCTACAAGCAAGATGCCTATCATTAAGCCCGCAGCGGCGTCGCCAGAGGCGCCTCAACAACACAAGCAACCGTCTCGGAAAGGCAAGAAGGCCTGGAGGAAGAATGTCGACGTCACGGAAATTCAAGAGGGTTTGGAGGAGGTGCGGGACGAAGTGATCAAAGGGTAGATAGAAGATCAATCCTGTCTGTCCTTACGAGCCATAATTGACCCTATCGCAGTGGAGTTATCGCCGAGAAGGATTCAGCCGAGCTGTTCACTGTCGATACCGCTGGTGACGCCGGCATAACGAAGAAGTACTTGAAGGGTTCCAAGCCGCTCAAGGCCGACGAGATCATTGCGCAGCGGTCTGCTGTCCCAGCTGTGTCTATGCGGAAGCGTTCTGGTGATGCAACTACGGATGGAATTATCTTGGCCAAGCGCTCAAGAACCAGCTATGTAACACACAAGGAGCTCACGCGGCTACGAAATATTGCCGATGGACGACAGGGAGACGCCCTTGTGGAGGTCACGGAAGCATCCTACGATCCATGGGACCCCCAAAGGGAAGCAGAAGAAGAAAAGCAAGACCCCAGGTTTTCCTTCCTCGAGAAGGCCCCGAAGAGGAAGCCTCCGGTCACGCTAAAACACAAACCCATCTCTCTAGCTGCCAGCGGGAAGGAGATCCCAGCAGTCAAGAAGCCAGAGGGAGGATACAGCTACAACCCAATGTATACAGACTACGAAGAGCGTCTCATGACCGAAGGGGAGAAAGCGCTCGCCGCCGAGAGGAAACGATTAGCCGAGCTTGAAGAGGAACGGCTTAAGCGTGAAGCGGCCGCAAGATCAGCCGCTGAAGCCGAGGCTGCAGAGGCACGAGCCGAATTGTCAGAGTGGGAGGAAGACTCTGTATGGGAGGGTTTCGAGAGCGGGACTGAGGACGTACGTGTGACTGCCAAGCGACCCGAGCGCAAGACACCGGCGCAGAGGAACCGAATCAAAAGGAGAAAAGAAGAAGAGCGGAAGGCGAAGATGGCTGCGAATATCAAGAAAAAGAACGAACAAGCCGCGCAGATCAAGAAGATTGCAGAGGCCATTGCTGAGAAGGAAAAGGAACGTGCACTGGCACTTGCCAAGAAGGATGATAGTAGCAGCGAGGGTGACGATCTAGAACTGCGAAGAAGGAAACTAGGCAAGATTGCCCTGCCGGAGAAGGATCTGGAGTTGGTCCTCCCAGATGAGTTGCAGGACTCACTGAGGCTTCTGAAGCCGGAAGGCAACCTGTTGAAGGAGAGGTATAGGAATTTACTGGTTCGCGGTAAAGTCGAGAGCAGGCGGCCCATCAGCTTTGCTAAGAAAGCCAAGAGGAAAGCAACGGAAAAATGGACACATAAGGATTTCATGCTGTATTAGAGAGTTTCTGGGGACACGGCAATATATCACACGACGCCATACATCACGGTTGCAAATTGACTGTGAAGTGTGCATATATATGATCGATCCATTCTTCGTACAGTGCGCCCCGTCCAATCATTCCGTAACCCTCAGCTACATTCTAGCTTGCCGTTTGCAGAAAAAGGGGTGAACTATTAGAACTACATGTAATAACTGTACACGGTTCCTATCCCCCGAGTTCCAATCCGCCTACCAACTCATGAGATCTGAAAAAGAAGCAATTAGTTAATACATCCAAACACGTTATATAGGTGACTTACCTCTGCCAAACAGAGCTCTCTTCGCCCAATCCATCGCCAGCAGAATCCTCGTCCGGAGACTCACGCTCTGCGCAAAATACACACTGCGCCAGGCGTAAACCGCCCACAACCCGCCCGTCAGACTCCAGCCTCGGCCGAGGTCAAAGACGGCCGAGTTCCCGATGTAAGCCAGGCTTCCCAGATGGTGGTATTCGAAGGGCTTGTAGACAGCCTCGTCGATAGCACCATCCCGGACTTCGTTGACGGCCATGCCAGGGAGCGCCTGCGCTATCTTGTTGAATTTATGACCGAGATATTTCCCCTGTTGATGAGCGCGTTGCGCCGTTGCCGGGAGGGAGGTTAGCTTGCTGTCAATCTGCATCAGGAGTTCGCGCAATTCGCCAAATTCGAGTGTTCCGGACTTGTCTTTGTCGAAGGTGGCGAAGAGCCTGTCGAGGCGTTTGAGGTGCTCTGCTGCTTGGGGGAAGCGCCTGCGAACCTTCTGAGCAAGGTCGCGCCACTCGGAGAACGTAAGGTGCATGGATTCTGGGTCTCCCTTCTCCCACGTCATACTTCGTAGGTAAGTGAAGACATGATCGGCAATGTTGTTTTGGACCGTAGAACAATCACCAATGGCATATACGTCTCCCAACGGGGCCCCACACAGCCGGAGATGGGTGTCCGTCTCCAGAGCATGACGATTTGTTTGTGCAGACCCGAGAGCGGCCGCAACTCTTTGGCAGAATTCGGTTTGGGAGACCCCAGTTGACCAAAGGCAGAATCCCATGGGTAGCTCTTTCGTAATCGTCGCCCCATTTTCATCCTTTTGGGTGAACAAGATCTTGTCTGGTCGAACTTCTTTGACTCTCGAGTTCGTGAGGACTTCAACTTGGTCGCGAGCGAAGCGGTCTTCAGCATATCTCGAGACTGCCTCATCATATGTGTTAAGAATATGTCCTCTGCTCTGAATCAAGTGTACTGAGATCTCATTGCGAAGAATCTTCGGAAAGTATTCAGTCAGGTCCTCGTTCAGTAGATCGAATAGCTCAGCCGCAAATTCCACACCGGTTGGTCCTCCACCACTAACGACAAATGAGAGCAGTCTTTTTCTCTCCTCGTCAGAAGTTGTAGGTAGGCAAGCAGACTCCAAATTTGTCATGATTTGGTTGCGGATCTGATGCGCATCGTCGATGTCCTTCAGGAAGTGGCAATTCTCAAGACCCTTGACACCGTGGGGATTTGTAGTCGATCCGACACCAATGACAAGTTTATCGTAGGGAAGATAGAACCGTACTTCATTTCCAGCGGGGTCTTTCTGCGACAGTTCAACCAGTTTCTCGGAGAACTCAACATTTTCAGCTGTAGCCCGGATGAAATGACCTCTCACTTTGTGAACAATCCTCCGGATCGGCTCCACCAGAGATCTGTATTCCAGTGTCCCGACAGTTGCGGACGGCAACATGGGGGTGAAGAGGAAGTAGTTGGTCGGTGATACCAGTGTCACGTGGTAGTTGTCTGGGTTCAGCGTCTTGATAAGAGCAACGCTACCCCATCCGCTTCCAAGGACCACGAGTCTTGGTTTACTCGTCTGATCCTCCATTTCCATGTCGTCGTTATCGTCGATTTGAACCTCAGCTATAGGGAGATTCTTCGGCCCGCCTCTTCTTGGACTCAATGCCAACTTGGAGACTTGGATGTCTTTGAAGGACGGATCTTCGCGGTAAGTCGAGGCATCATAGATGAAGAACCCAACAACACCAAGCCCCAGAATTGCTATCGAACCACCAAACCATGCAGCAGACCGGTATATGAAGTTAAGGGCGCGGGATTGTGTTCGTGGCAAAGGTTTACCGGATACAAATCGGATGTTTTGGCGGGGGAGCAGATGGCTGGACGGCGTCTGCGAGACGAGGGCAGGCTGCGGGCGCCATCGGTTTGAGTGCAGACTCCGAGCACTCGTGAAGCCGTAGACAATAGATCGGTGCTTTGGGAGGAATGCTGGGTTTCTAGAAGTTCTGGACAAGCAACTGAGCCCGAAGCGCGTGGTGCACGCGACCGGCTGCAGTCGCAGCATTGTTGGCGCTTTCTGATCTGTGGATTTGAGACTAAGGAGTGTAGATCATATTCGCAGAGAGCCGGCCTCAAAGGGATGACGGCGGGTATCAATCAAGAAAGTTTATGAACAGAGGTTGCCAGCTGTGAAGTGAAAGGTACTTGGCGGGGAGTATTTATGTAGGTAGCAAGGTAGATCAATCAAAATCAAGGCACAGGACGGATCTCGCGGGAGAGCTGCTGTTAGTGACCTCTTTAGCACCACCTACCTAGGACTTGAAAGCATAGCCAAGACACGCGATGCACAACAAGGAATCCACACAAGACTCATTATACTGTACTATTAATTGATTATTTAGGCTGAAGATGTTTTGAGTTTTGCAACGCAACATTTAAGCAACTTGCAGGCATGAGGCTGGTGTTCCTGTGATGTTCCTGTCAATTAATAAAACCCCAGATCTCTTACACAGTACGCCCGACTATGTCCTGCCAATGATAGAGAAAGTCAGGGAAGTAAGCCATCTAGTCGTGAACCTGTTAATGCATGTACCGAGTGCGCCTGAACCCGCTGGCGCCATCCCAATCCAAACTCCCATTATTACCTTACAATATAATAACGCCAGAATCGCACGTCCAATTCAATCCTCATGTAATCATGGGTTCAAGGCCATTATCTTGGATATCGTCATTCTCATCCGCATCGAGTCCGAGTCCAATTCGAGCTGGGAGATCGATTTTATTTTCACGAGCAGTGTTTTCAGCCCATGCGCGGAGGCGAACTAGATTTCTAATAGCAGCATCTCGTCTTTGGTTTTGACAAGTCAAGATAGCCTTGTTCACTCTGTCGGCCACCGACCTTCGAAGGTCTGGGTGCAAAATCGCGGCAAGTTGTGGCTCAAGGTTGTCTGCGGGAAAGACAAGCAGAGCCATCGTTCGCTCTAGATCTTCCAAGAATTCTGGATTTGTAGGTGCACGCGGTGCAAGTTCTGTAGTAGCAAAAGTCAATGCCGGTGTAATGTCACTTCCTGGAGTAGCGTTGCATGTTCGAATAAGCTCTACTAGTTGAAGCCGAAGGAGTGCGAAATGGAGGGATGGGTCGGTGTCAAGGACCTGTTTCATTCTGTCAGTGATGGAAACGTTGAGCTTCTTATTTATAGCTAAGCTAAGGTGTTGTTTTGCTCATACTGAGGACTGAAGTTGGTAATTTTTCTCATCAACGACCCGAAGGCTATATGAGTGGTGCATGAACTCGTGTCTAATCATAGCAGAATCTGAGGAAAGAAAATATTGCATTGGCTTACCTGAGGTTCAAGTTCGTTCAATGCCTCAATTGCTTCTTGAATGCTTCCTGAATGAATTGAGTGTTGTATCTGCTGACGAGCTTTGATAGATTCTTCCTCCTGAGTTGGTCGAAGGTTTGCTTCTTTTGAGAGACTAGCAGCAGCGGATGAATAGCCTTCCGTAGTGAGATAGTCCAAGATCAGGGCGTTAATGTCACTATCCAATTCAAATAACGTCAGCCCGTGCAGACCAGAAAATTCCCTCGCAACAGTTGTTGGATGCTTTGACAAAGTTTGCCAGAGGCAACTGATCAGATAGACAACTAAATAAGTTCTCCGCATGCGTAATTTTTAGGAGAGATTCCCAGTTGATGAAAGTCATCATGTAGAGCCGGCCAGAAGCTGAAAGCCTGACATGGTGGGGAGCGACGAATATGTGCACAGGTGTGATTCATACCTTTTCATAGGTTTGACTTCGTCAACTCGGCTCTCGAAGGCATGCCGCAGAGGGGTGGTTGTAGAAGCCGCTGAAGAGGTCTGAAAAGACGTCAGGGCTCAGCACCATGAGCAAGCGGGCTGGAAAAAGACCGACCATTCTTGCAGCGACGGAGACTATCTAGTCTCCAGTCTCCATCCGAGACACCTAGTACGACAATTAAAGAAGGCTGGAGTGTCCAGCACTGTCGCCGATGAATGAGGTGGGGTGGTATGTGAGGAAGAGAAGAAGGTGATGAGGGGGAAGAGGGAGGGTTTTATAGGTGAGAGGAAGGAAATGTGCGGCTCAGAGTGCAGGGAAAGGAAAAGCTTTGAAGCGGCGCCAGTAAAAGGGGTCTTACCAATAGCGGTTACCGTGCCTACGTACCCGGACTCTTCTGGCCACCGTATCATGGCGCGGAACGAAGGTACTTCTCGGCTGCCGCATGGTACCTCAGGTACGGACTTCTAAACTTCACTCGAGATACCAAGTATAATTACCCTCACGTGCTCTATCCATTTATCTGGCTCTTAGGTAAATATATTGAGGTTGTGGAAACGCTCAGAGATAAGGATAGCATCGACCCCCTCGCTCACTTATTTCTTCATTCCCTCAGCCTTTGTGCTAGCAAACTTGGTCGTTTTCGCGCAAGATGCGGTTCTAAGAGCTATCTACATCTCAAGACAGATTGGCACTTGCACGGGAGAGCTGTCCTGTTCTCTGGCACACTCATCAAGTCTGACACTCAGGATTCAGTGAACCGTCACCATGGCCGATATTGTGCGTGAGCGGGCTCATTATTCACCACCTTGGGCAGACGTCAGCATCATCGGTATAGCTGGGTCCTCAGGATCAGGTAAATCCACATTATCTCATGCGATCGTGTCCAAATTAAATCTGCCCTGGGTTGTCATTCTCTCAATGGTAACTTTTAGCCTGCAGCGGACATGTATTATTGCAAGTTACTGATCTGGGGCTTAGGATTCGTTCTACAAGACGTTGGATGAGGAATCGTCTCGGCGGGCCTTCAGGAACGAGTATGATTTCGACTCGCCCGAAGCTATTGATTTCGATGTTCTGGTGAGCCGCTTGCGCGACCTCAAAGCAGGGTCTGCTCCCTCTTACCACATAGCTTTCCGGCCTCCAATTGACAAAGACACACAGAAAGAGGGCAGAAATCCCAATCTACTCGTTTGCAAAACACGCGAGAGAAGAGAGGACTACTTCTATATACTCTCCCCACGTTCTGATCTTGGAGGGTATATTTGCTTTGTACGATCCTCGTGTCCTTGAGTTGCTGGATATGAAGGTATTCATTTCCTTTTCCCTAAGTCTCTTAAAACAATGGTTTGGATTTTGGTAATTGACGTTCAACTAATTTAGATTTTCTGTGAAGCTGACGCAGATACGTGTCTATCCCGAAGAAGTATGCCCCTTCCAGTGACTTGCTTAGGCAACACATTTAATTTGACCCACTGAACATTCTCGTTATCGTGAGGTATCAGTGATGCTAGGGTCTTTTGTGATGATCCAGGATTTGTAGAACAAGTGTCTCTATCGTAAACATCAATCGGAGGCCGAAGAAGTTTTCGGGTTACCTTTGTCCGCAATATGATTTATATTCGATAGCCTAGACCCTATATTTGTCATCCCAAAGTCACTGACATCCATCACACAGTTTTACGAGATGTCGCAGAGCGTGGCAGGGACATTGAAGGCTGTATCAAGCAGTGGTTTGGTTTCGTGAAGCCGAATTTTGAACGATACGTGGAACCCCAAAGAAAGGTGGCTGGTAAGTTCAGTCTTCAACAGTCGTTGGACTGATTTAATATAGTATAGATGTAATTGTGCCGAGAGGGGTTGAGAACAGAGTTGCCATCAGTAAGTAAACTACAACCATGTACTTGGTCACAGATATTAACATTTTTAAGCTATGGTTGTTCAATACATCGAGCGCAAGTTGATTGAAAAGTCCAAATCTCATCGCGCCGCCCTCAAGAAACTAGGCCAAAGCGCCGAGGATGACCCCCTGTCGGCAAATGTTCTGCTCCTCGACCAAACTCCTCAACTTCGAGGGATGAGTACCATAATTCAGGACATAGATACTCCAGCAGAGGACTTCATATTCTATTTTGACCGGCTAGCTACATTTCTCGTGGAACAGTAAGCTTGAACATCCCATTTTGGCCGAAGTTATGCTAATAGGCTAAGCGCCATGAATAATGTCTATTTCAAGGAGAAAACTGTTGAAACTCCAGTAGGCAATAAGTATCGAGGTTTGTCACCGACGGGTGAGGTCAGTGCGGTTATTGTTCTTCGCGCCGGTGCTGCTTTTGAGGTAAGCCTTGCCACTTTTAAGACTGGTTTATATTTGAATTAACCTTAAATCATTGATAGACAGGATTAAAGCGAGTAATTCCAGACTGCAGAACGGGACGTCTTCTCATCCAATCCAATGTTCGTACAGGCGAACCGGAGTTGCACTATCTGAAACTTCCAGAAGATATCAAAACGCATGACAGTGTGCTCTTATTAGATCCCCAAGTAAGTTAAGGTTTACTACCGATGCAAGACCAAAGGCTGATGTTGTAAGATGTCGAGCGGAGGGGCTGCCTTGATGGCAGTGCAAGTCCTTGTGGACCACGGCGTTCCAGAAGAAAAGATTGTCTTCGTCACTTATTTTGCTGGAAGGATCGGTCTCAACAGATTAACGAATGTGTTCCCAGGTGTTAGAGTGGTTGTGTCCACTATAGTTGCAGACTTTGAGGAGAGATGGATCGAGAAGCGTTACTTCGGCTGCTGATGTCAAAGATGGATCTCGATATAATCGACCTGCGGGAAATCTATGCGGATAACTTTGGGTTTACCTACCTTATCTGAGATCTATTCTACAATTTAAGATCTGGATCGGTTTAGCTTCAGGGGACTTGGAACTGACTTGGAACTGAAGGCCGTCGACAGCATGCCAAGAGTCCTATGGTTCTTACCCGAGCCTCGAATGGAACCAAAATTATGGCTCAGCCTCCAAACAATTGTAACCTTTCCCCAACAGCGATAGCGAAACTAGGTCCGCATACTATTTCCTTCGAAATCTGATAACTTTCAACTACAGTGCTGCACCTAGCCATGGTGTGCTGTCGCGTCCCTACACCAAGAAGATCTGAAGTTGCCTAGAACCTTGTGGTCTGAAGTTAGATCCCAAAGTCCTTTCCTAGAAGTGCTCTAGCTTTCCCTTACGGCATCCGTTCCTTTCGACTTGTCCACGCGTACTATGTGTGATGGATTCTCTTCTTGGTTAGACCTGACAAGCCTTCCTCTATCGAATATCGGCCAGTTAATAGTCAAGGTAACGCTTCAATATAGAACGCGAATACTTTTGGGATTCCAACACTCCAAACTTACTCGATGTTTTCCAGAAGCATTGTTTGCTTTGGATTTTGTTTAGTTCTTCTTGACTGGTTTTAGCTAGTTGGTCGTTTTCAGGGCCAATGAATGGTTTAGCCCGCACTACTTCTGATTTCAAAGTTACTGTATAGTGTATTCAAGTATGCAGCTGACTTTGACACTCTTCTAACCACGTGGAGCAAGTCGAAAGGTAAGCATGCTCTGACTAGTGGAATTATATAAACCCTTCGTGCGAGGTGGTGCAGGTGATTCGGTCACCAGCTTCACACACGACCTTCCCCTCTTTCCCTCTTTCCCTAGTGAAGAGAAATGTTTCTGGTTAACTTCCGAATGTTTTGAACTAGTGTCGCAACATGAGTGAGTCCATGATCGTAACGTAGCAACCCCCCTGATGCATGAACGACAGTCCTATGTTTATAATCGTATACCCCCAGCCACACACTATTATATATAGCGGGCATTGTTTCCAGTTGCCTTCCTGTGAATTTCGATGCTTCTTGTGAGGAAATTCCGAAGTATCTTGGTTTTCTAAACTCACCATGTTGTTGGCGCGGCAGAATTCGATTTGGCTTTTGTTTACTGTCGCGAGTCAGGTTTCCGGAGCCCCAACCTCATCTGGGAGCTACACATCCCACGCAGAAGCGGCACTTAATACACTCCAAACTTGGTACGATGTTGACACTGGATTATACAACACAACTGGGTAAGAAAATTCTCTTTTTCTGGGATGTCTGGTTTACTGGTCGTGGAAAATGCTTTGCAATTCCATACCCATGTCCTTTGAATATAAAACCCAAAACACCATCTTTATGGAACAAAAGCATTGACTTAGAGATGTGTCAGATGGTGGAATTCTGCCAATTGCCTGACCACATTGGGGGACCTGGCAGCGGTTGATCCCACGGTCAAAGCTTCAGCCAAAGAGATCTTAGCCAACAGCATAGATAAGGCACAGAAGTTCAACCTTCAGATGGAGAAGGTCGTCATGCCGAATTTCAACATTGAGACAATCTACGCCAATAACGGATTTCTGGCCTCATTGCTCAGCCCGAACGGCTTTCTCAATGGATACTACGACGACGAAGGGTGGTGGACCCACGCTTGGATCCAAGCCTACGATGTCACGGGCGATATCCAGTACCTCGAAACGGCGGCCAGCATCTTTCAAGACATGAAGAACGGCAGTACCACCAATTGCGGAGGCGGGATCTGGTGGGATAAAGCACAGACATATGTCAATGCCATCGCCAACGAACTCTACTTGAGCGCCGCGGCACACCTTGCCAACCGAATGTTCGAAAAGGAATATTACCTCAACATCGCATTGGAGCAATGGGACTGGTTCCAAAAAAGCGGCATGATAAATTCCAAGAACACCATCAACGACGGGTTAACCTCCAGCTGCAAGAACAACGGCGGAACCGTCTGGTCCTACAACCAGGGAGTAATCCTCGGCGCGCTCGTCGAGCTCAACAAAGCCGCGCCAGACCCATCCTATCTCAAGGCCGCGTCCACTATCGCGACAGCCGCGCTCCAGGCCCTCTCAGACAGCAACGGCATCTTGCATGATCCATGCGAGCCGCACTGCGGCGCCGACGGGTCCCAGTTCAAGGGCATATTCATGCGCAATCTGCAGCGCTTGCAGCAGGTCGCGCCCAACCAAGCATTCCTCGCCTCCATCGCCGCAAACGCAGACAGCATCTGGGCCACAGATCGAGGCCCGCACGATCAACTGAGCCTGGTGTGGTCCGGGCCGTTCGTCGCGCCCGCGAATGCGTCAACGCACAGCTCGGCGCTGGATGCGCTGGTCGCGGCCGTCGCTTTCGAGGGCAAGGGGATCAGCTCTTGATGCTGCTGTTTGTTATTCATTGGTTCGAGTAGAGTTTCAGGGATTGGCGGGGCTGGGATGATATAATGCCATGACTCGAAGCCCCCCGCACTTCCGGGTTTTTCAGGCGGCGTCAGCGATATGATTTGGGTTTTGGATATTTAGGAGGATGTGAAAAGGGGGTTTGAACAATGCATATGTGCGGGTGAAAGTTTACACCCCGGGGAAAAGAGCCCTTGATACCTTAATGATAGTAAAAGAAACAGCAGTATGCGATGTTTTAACACGAGTGATTGAAAGATTGACGTCTCAACTGCTATTAAGGGCAGCGTTTCATGTGGTGGAAATCGAGTCCGGCAAATCTAACAGACAGGGACGTGAAGGAGACAGAAAGATGTCTGAGAAAGCACGTCTATCAAGGACCAAGGTAAATAAAAACAAAAGGAAACTGCCGCGCCCTATCTTCTATAGGAGAGGATAGGAGGCACGTATGAATGATTCTTAGAAGTCCTAATTGACCACACGAACTCCCTCGGGTGGGCTCGAACCACCAACCTCTCGATGGGTCTGCACAGGCCGAGAAGGCTTTGTAACAGTCGAACGCGCTAGCCAATTGCGCCACGAGGGATACTGCTGAAAGGCAATTTGTTTTGCCTGTTTGGTTTTCCCAGTCTGCTATTTCAATATCTATATAGCAATTCCTCTTGTTTAAATCCCTTTTTCACGTTCGTCCACTTTCTCGCTGTCTTGCTGTCTCGTTGTATCGGTCGGGCGCACTCAATCACTTCATTTGGATTGTGGTTAATTGAACTGTGGTTGATACCGCAAGGCTTTTCACAACCAAACACCCAGCTTGATGCACCGCTCTCCATGTCATTTGATATTATGGGATATCTACGGAGTATATACATCCCTCTCTCTCGCTCTCTCTCTCTCCCGCTAGCAAGAACCTGCTTTTGATATGAAGTCAAATCAAATGCGTGGACAGGCTCACTGAAAATATCTCCAGTACTTGATCGAATCATATACTCGGATTTCTTATATACCTAAGTCCTATGCAGGAATCAGAATTCACGATTCCGGTATCTGGCCTCCATTTTATCCTGTGGACTGAAAATCCGTCCATACGCTGGCGGGCACAGCGACCAATTATAAAATCGAGGGGGCAAGTGCCCTCTCCTTCGAAATAGTTATCTCTCCTCGAGAACTTGCCTGTGTTGACTTCTTATCCTGTCTCTGAAGCGAAATCAGCAGCACTCTCTAGAGATGCAACCCCCCCCCC